GGGACACTGGGCTCAGACCATGCAGGTCTTCAAAGGTAAGAATCAACATAACTGAACAGAAACATAACTGGCAACCGGTTTAATATATTTATAATATCACCACTCCAAGATGTAATAATGACCAATCTGACTAAAACAAAATATAGCTAAAAACAATTGTAAATATGAACATTTAAAGCAATATAAACAACCTTCAACAGGATCCTGTTGGTGAATAATAATATCAGCAGCAGCACCAGTTAGCTGGAGAACAATATTCTCTTTGAAGGAAATCCTCAGCTGTAGGAATCCGCTTTCCCAACACAAGACAAATGGTGGATAAATATCTGTGATATCCCCAAAATGGATAGTCTGACTATACTGATTATGGAGAAATCGTTGCTCAAATATTGGGACTTGCTCATTTTCATAATAATGATGGGAGGAAATGTCAACTATAGAATTAATTAATTTCTACCAGAAGTAGAAATGTAATTATATATTAGCATCTAAAGAGAGTAGAATTTATTTTTATCTAACTTGTCAAAAGCAAATTGAGAATACAGTTATAATGTATAGAAAAACCTCAAAGTTAAAACATGGCATAGGGAATAGAATAATAAGGGATAAAAATAATCAGATTGTGAGGAGGAGTTTTATAAAATTATTTCCTTGCCGGTCTGTTTGTTAGCGGAGTTTGGGCAAGTCTACCTGAATAAAATCTTTTTATTCAGGCAGGCTTTTAAACAAGCCAGGGGCTGTTGTGGGTTTTAGTTTTGAATCATTTTTTAAGGATTTTGACTGTTTATTTTTAGCACCATTAATATTGAATTCTATTTCAATGTTTTTATATTTTTATGTTTTAAATTGCATTCCATTTAGTTTTACTGTAAGCCGTTTTGAGTCTTTTGTAGTGAGAAAGCAGGGTATTAATGATCATAATAATATTGATAATAGGTGTGTTTTGTCTGTTTTAGTTTTGTAGTTTGTTGTAGTACATAATAATAATAATTTTATTTATTACCTACCTCTCCTCATTGTATATATAATATATTGTTTATCATTACTATATTATTATACCATAAATGTATTATATAATTATATTATGTTTTTTTATAATTATAATTGTAATACACTATGTGACACTGCGATTTTTGTTCCTGGGTGATAAATGTCATTATTTCCTAATAGGTTCTATCATAAAAACATGGGTAAAGTTTATTAAACTGCAAACATAAACTGCTCTAGCACATTTTGCTACAGGTTTCCAATCAATCTCTTCGATCCTCTACGGAGGCCCTCCTCTCGCTCCCACCTCCATCACAAGCACGGCTTGTGGGGACGAGGGAGAGAGCCTTCCCCACTGTGGCCCCTCCACTTTGGAACCCGCTACTCAGTGAGATTAGGCAAGCCCCCACCCTGGCAGCCTTTAAGAAAGGCCTAAAAACCTGACTCTTCGGGTGCTCCTTTGACAAATGAACACATACCCCCGTATCTTGTCCATCTAATACAGATCTGTCTTCATGATGCACTTTTGCTGATTCTTTAGAAAGGTCAACCCCATTGTTTGCCCCTTCTGAGTTCTCTCCTCAGATATATACTAGGGTTGTTTCTGTATGTATTTTATTTTGATGTATTTTTCTGTTGTCTGCATTCTGTATTTTATTTTGTTGTATTGTATCTTTGGGCTTGGCCTCATGTTAGCCGTCCCAAGTCCCCTTTGCAGAAATGGTGGCGGGGTATTTATTTATTTACTGTATTTGTACACCGCCCTTCGCGGCCTATCGGCGGATGTAAATGAAGTTTATTATTATATTATTATTGTACTAGCCGTCCCCTGCCACGCGTTGCTGTGGCCCACATGGGGGTTCCGTGTGAGAGTTTGGCCCAATTCTATCATTGGTGGAGTTCAGAATGCTCTGTGATTGTAGGTGAACTATAAATCCCAGCAACTACAACTCCCAAATATCAAGATTCTATTTTCCCCAAACTCCACTAGTGTTCACATTTGGGCATATTGAGTATTTGTGTCCAGATCCATCATTGTTTGAGTCCACAGTGATCTCTGGATGTAGATGAACTACAACTCCAAAACCAAAGGACACTGCCCACCAGACCCTTCCAGTATTTTCTGTTGGTCATGGGAGAACTGTGTGCCAAGTTTGGTTCAATTCCATCGTTGATGGAGTTCAGAATGCTCCTTGATTGTAGGTGAACTATAAATCCCAGCAACTACAACTCCCAAATGACAAAATCAATTTTTTTGAGTGAAGGACATACATTGGGTTGTTAAGTGTCTTGTGTCCAAATTTGGTGTCAATTTGTCCAGTAGTTTTTGAGTTCTGTTAATCCCACAAACATGACATTTTTATTTATTTAGATTGTTGAAGGCTTTCATGGCTGGAATCACTGGGTTGTTGTAGGTTTTTTAGGGCCATATGGCCATGTTCCTGGCATGTTCTACAATAGGGGTCCTCAAACCTTTTAAACAGAGGGCCAGGTCACAGTCCCAAAAACTGTTGGAGGGCTGGATTATAATTTGAAAAAAAATGAATGAATTCCTATGCACACTGCACATATCTTATTTGTAGTGCTAAAAACACTTTAAAAGAATACAATAATTAAAATGAAGAACAATGTTAACAAATATAAACTTATTAGTATTTTAATGGGAAGTGTGGGCCTGCTTTTGGCTGATGAGATAGGATTGTTGATGTTATGTGCTTTCAAGTCATTTCAGACTTAGGTTGACCCTGAGCGAGGGCCGGGTAAATGACCTTGGAGGGCCGTATCTGGCCCCCGGGCCTTAGTTTGAGGACCCCTGATCTACAACAACCCTATATTATTATTAGTACTCCATTTACTTCTCACCCTAGGTTTTATCTATTTTATCCTGTGCATTTGGTCCAATCTTTGTGCTTTTATTCCTCCATCATGTTATTTGGCGTTTGTTTTATGTATTTTATTTTGATGCTATTATTTGCTTGTTTGTATTTTACTTTGCTATATTATAATTTTGGGCTTGGCCTCATGTTAGCGGCCTCAAGTCCCCTTCGGGGAGATGGTGGTGGGGTAGTTTTTACTGTGTTGAAGGGAACTATTTTAATTGGCAAAATGTGGTGACTCTTAAAAAGACAATTAGTCTCCGTGAGGTTTGAAGCTAAAATCCTTTATTTCTCAAGTGCGGCCGCACTGGACAGAAACAGCAAGACAATCAGATGTCTATCAAAGGGCTGCCTGTCCCATTTGATCTTTCCAATATCATTCTTATACCCTTTTTCTGCCGTGCCATGAACAGACCATGAACAGATCCACCCCTCTTCCAAACTTCCTTCCAAAAACATGTTCTTTCACCTCCTTCCTCTTAACGCTTACCAGAACTGATTCCCTTTCACCTACTTAGAGCCTCTCTCATTCATGTTATGACTGCAAATTGTTGGATGTCATCCTGTCCCCCCGTCCTTCAGCTCTGTATCCTGTTCTTTTCCAAAACTGTCTCTCTTCTTGCCCTTGCACCTTTCTGTGACAAAGGACAAGGCTTCCTTAGGCTTTGCAGTTTTCAGCATTTCCTAATAAGCTCTATTCACCCCTTCAGTGTTATGGTGTAATTTTTTTTTTGTTATTGCTTTATGTATTTGATTTTGCTTTGAGTTGTTTGTTGTGTTGTTGCTGTGTTGAGGCCTTGGCCTTTGTAAGCTGCATCGAGTCCTTTGGGAGATGCTAGCGGGGTACAAATAAAGTTTAATAATAATAAAATAATACTAATAAATATTATTATTATTGTATTGTCGAAGGCTTTCATGGCTGGAATCACTAGGTTCTTGTGGGGTTTTATTTATTTATTATTATTTATTTACGACATTTATATGCCGCCCTTCTCACCCCGAAGGGGACTCAGAGCGGCTTACAAGGTATATATACATACAATATATTATATTATTAGCATAGTACAATATCAGTTTTAAATATTGCTATATTATACTATACCAATTATATTGTAATATTATTAGTAATATTACATGTAACATATATATACATAATTGTAATATCATATTATTAGCAGTAGTAGTATATTGCATTATATTATAATATTATAAATATTATATGTGTATACAATATATATTATATTATTAGAATAGCACAGGAGACAAGGTGGAACCGTCCCCTGGCCTCCCCTCTCTTCGCTCCGGTCCAGAGCATCAGTTGGTGCTGGGGGAGGGGTCTCCAGCTGATGGCATATGCAGGAGAGAAGATGGTGCTGTCCCCTGGCCTCCCCTCTCTTCGCTCTGCCCCGGGCTATAGGGCCATGTTCTAGAGGCATTCTCTCCTGACGTTTAGCCTGCATCTATGGCAAGCATCCTCAGAGGTAGTGAGGTCTGTTGGAATTAGGAAAATTGGGTTTATATATCTGTGGAATGGCTGGGGTGGGGCAAGGAGCTCTTCTCTGCTGGAGCTAGGTGTGAATGTTTATTATTATTATTATTAGAGTCTCAACTAATTCAGCCTAGTTTGCGGCAGCCACAAAATCAACCAAGTTCCTGGAGTAGAGCAACTACTTTCAAAGCAAGAACCACACCATAAAACAGGACATCCACACTGTCAAACCAGGGAGAGAACATTTTTCGAATTTGTACATAACAGTGTGTATTTCCCTCCCCCCATTCTGACTCGGGAAGGCGAGCCCTGGGTGTTTAAATCCTGGCCCTGGCTCCTCTTGTCCCTCAAAAGGGAAGTGCGTCATCAGGAGGGGATGAGGGCGCCTTCCTTGTCGCGCCAACCACTGCGCAGGCGCAGAAAGGATCAGAGCCGAGCCCTTGCCGCTCCGCCGCCGACGCGCATGCGCAACATGGCCGTCCGCTCTCGCGCATGCGCACAGCTCGGCGTGTGTGGGGGAGGGGTGTGAGGAGATGCGCGCGCACTCTCGCCTCAGAAAGAGAACTCAGCCGGCCCGGCCAAGTAACCGACGCGGAAAGCCCCTCTGCCCCGGCCTCCCGCTTTCCCCTCCGCGGCCCTGAACTCACCGAGGAGGCCTACGCGGGTTTCTCACAAGCGGACGACGACAAAAGGGCGCCCAACGGAAACCACGGCTCCGCTCGCTCTCGTTCTGCCTCAACGCGCAGGCGCGCAGGCCGAGCCGTGATTGGCTGTTCGGGGAGGGGCGTGGCTCCGCCGCTTCTCCAATCGGAATTCCGGCCTCTGCAAGCTCCGGCCAATCACCCGTCGGGGGCGTGGCTAGCGGGATGCCATCTAGTCCAACCCCCTTCTGCCTTCCTACAGGGAAAGCACAATCAAAGCACCCCTGCCAGATGGCCATCCAGCCTCCGCTTTTTTATTATTATTATTATTATTATTGCTACTACTCTTTATTATTATAGATAGATAATAAGAGTTGGGAGGGACCTCTAAAGGCCATCTAGTCCAACCCCCTTCTGCCTCCCTGCAGGAAAAGCACAATCAAAGTACCCCTGCCAGATGGCCATCCAGCCTCCACTTTTGAAATATTATTATTATTATTATTATTATTATTGCTACTACTCTTTATTATTATATAGATAGATAATAAGAGTTGGGAGGGACCTCTAAAGGCCATCTAGTCCAACCCCCTTCTGCCTTCCTGCAGGAAAAGCACAATCAAAGCACCCCTGCCAGATGGCCATCCAGCCTCCGCTTTATTATTATTATTATTATTATTATTATTATTATTATTATTGCTACTACTCTTTATTATTATAGATAGATAATAAGAGTTGGGAGGGACCTCTAAAGGCCATCTAGTCCAACCCCCTTCTGCCTCCCTGCAGGAAAAGCACAATCAAAGTACCCCTGCCAGATGGCCATCCAGCCTCCACTTTTGAAATATTATTATTATTATTATTATTATTATTGCTACTACTCTTTATTATTATAGATAGATAATAAGAGTTGGGAGGGACCTCTAAAGGCCATCTAGTCCAAGGGGGTTCTGCCTTCCGGCAGGGAAAGCACAATCAAAGCACCCCTGGCAGATGGCCATCCAGCCTCCGCTTTATTATTATTATTATTATTATTATTATTATTATTATTATTATTGGTACTGCCCTTTATTATTATAGATAGATAATAAGAGTTGGGAGGGACCTCTAAAGGCCATCTAGTCCAACCCCCTTCTGCCTTCCTGCAGGAAAAGCACAATCAAAGCACCCCTGCCAGATGGCCATCCAGCCTCCGCTTTATTATTATTATTATTATTATTATTATTATTATTATTGCTACTACTCTTTATTATTATAGATAGATAATAAGAGTTGGGAGGGACCTCTAAAGGCCATCTAGTCCAACCCCCTTCTGCCTTCCTGCAGGAAAAGCACAATCAAAGCACCCCTGCCAGATGGCCATCCAGCCTCCGCTTTATTATTATTATTATTGCTACTCTTTATTATTATAGATAGATAATAAGAGTTGGGAGGGACCTCTAAAGGCCATCTAGTCCAACCCCCTTCTGCCTTCCTGCAGGAAAAGCACAATCAAAGCACCCCTGCCAGATGGCCATCCAACCTCCACTTTATTATTATTATTATTATTATTATTATTATTATTATTATTGCTACTACTCTTTATTATTATAGATAGATAATAAGAGTTGGGAGGGACCTCTAAAGGCCATCTAGTCCAACCCCCTTCTGCCTTCCTGCAGGAAAAGCACAATCAAAGCACCCCTGCCAGATGGCCATCCAACCTCCACTTTATTATTATTATTATTATTATTATTATTATTATTATTATTGCTACTACTCTTTATTATTATAGATAGATAATAAGAGTTGGGAGGGACCTCTAAAGGCCATCTAGTCCAACCCCCTTCTGCCTTCCAGAAGGAAAAGCACAATCAAAGCACCCCTGCCAGATGGCCATCCAGCCTCCGCTTTATTATTATTATTATTATTATTATTATTATTATTATTGCTACTACTCTTTATTATTATAGATAGATAATAAGAGTTGGGAGGGACCTCTAAAGGCCATCTAGTCCAACCCCCTTCTGCCTTCCTGCAGGAAAAGCACAATCAAAGCACCCCTGCCAGATGGCCATCCAGCCTCCGCTTTATTATTATTATTATTATTATTATTATTATTATTATTATTATTATTGACACCATTTTCTAAGCCAGTTATTGACCTGTACTATTTTTCTGGCCCTTGTAGGACCGTGTTTTATGACTGGGAGGAGGGATGAAAAGACCACCTGTACATTACATTGTTTTAGCTTTGTTCCGAGAGCTCAAAAATCATTTGTGATCTTTCGAAAAGTATGCCTAGCAGTATCATTGGTTCCTACATGAATCAATGATAATTCAGATAATTCTCCCTTCTCCCAAAGGTGCCTCCTTCCTTCCAGTGGAAAGTCCCCTGCTCACCATGAGTTGCAGCTGGTTGATGTCTCAATCTTGGTCCCTTTCCCCAAACACTGCAAGCTAGAATTCCCTCTGGAACTGCCCTGGCATGACCTGCGGGCCTTGACCATCTCCAGTTCTTGGATGGGAAGCCTTCTTCCTTGTGTCATTCCTCGTGGATCCTGTTGGCATCCGTTGGTTGGCTCATCCGTGTTTCCAGCCACAAAGGCCACTTCACAAGGCAGGCTTTGTGCTTTGTTCCCTGCTGAGCGCCAGGGGTTCGGTTGCCCAGTTTCTCTTGGAAGGGGATATAAAGGCAGGAGGTGGCAGAGCTGGAGCTTCACTGGTCTTGCCTCACCATGAAGTCCTCAACCGGCTTCATCATCATCATCCTCCTCGCTCTCCTGGCCTCCTCTGCCGTGACGCCCGCTCCCCCTGGGCAAGGTGAGTGGTCCCTGGGAATCCCCTTGAAGGTACCTCTGTCCTATTCCAGATCAGGCCTTGCTTATCATACAGGCATGCTCTGGGGCACCTTCCTTCCTCTGACCCTTCAGGTCCCTCAAGGCCTAGAGACCAGACCAGACCAGAGCATGGCAGAGCAACGGGCCAGATTGTGGAGGTCAAGAGTCCCCACTGGCCATCAACCCTGCTGTTGCCTCCTCAGGAGGGGTTGCTCCTCTGCTTCCCACCCACTGACACCACAAAATTGCTGGCATCCCAGCTGGCAGTTGCAGTCATAGAATCATAGAATCAAAGAGTTGGAAGAGACCTCCTGGGCCATCCAGTCCAACCCCATTCTGCCAAGAAGCAGGAATATTGCATTCAAATCACCCCTGACAGATGGCCATCCAGCCTCTGTTTAAAAGCTTCCAAAGAAGGAGCCTCCACCACACTCCGGGGCAGAGAGTTCCACTGATGAACGGCTCTCACAGTCAGGAAGTTCTTCCTCATGTTCAGATGGAATCTCCTCTCTTGTAGTTTGAAGCCATTGTTCCGCGTCCTAGTCTCCAGGGAAGCAGAAAACAAGTTTGCTCCCTCCTCCTCCCTGTGGCTTCCTCTCACATATTTATACATGGCTATCATATCTCCTCTCAGCCTTCTCTTCTTCAGGCTAAACATGCCCAGCTCCTTAAGCCGCTCCTCATAGGGCTTGTTCTCCAGACCCTTAGTTGTTTGGGTTCATAGTAACATACATGAGCCAAACCCGACACACGGAACCCCCATTACCAAAAGAAAATACTGGAGGGGTTGTTGAGGAATTGACAGGGATTGATGAGAGATGTAGAACATGGCCAACATAAGATACTGGAAGGGTTTGGTGGGCATTGATCTTCAGTTTGGGAGTTGTAGTTCACCTACATCTGGAGAGCACTATGAACCCAAACAACCCATGCACGCTCTGGGCTAGCTTCCTTCCTCTGACCCTCCAGGTCCCTCAAGGCCTAGAGACCAGACCAGAGCATGGCAGAACGGGCCAGATTGTGGAGGTCAAGAGGCCCCACTGGCCATCAACCCTGCTGTTGCCTCCTCAGGAGGGGTTGCTCCTCTGCTTCCCACCCACTGACACCACACAATTGTTGGCATCCCAGCTGCCAGTTGCAGTCCTTCGTTATCTCAGGAAATCCCTCCAACTTGAAGACAGAAGGACCTTACTTTAAAAGTGGAGAACAGGGCACTACGGTCTTGCCTTGTCAGAACCAGGTGCCAGTAGAAGAGCACAACACGCACACACTTTGCATTAAAACTGGGTTGTTGTAGGTTTCTCAGACTGTATGGCCATGTTCTAGAACAGTGGTTCTCAACCCGGGGGTCACGACCCCCAGAAGGGTCGATTGGCCGTTTCCAAGGGGTCACGACGCCACCTCCTTTGGCCCCACCCCCTCAGCCTCCCTGCAATGGCTGCCCGTGACCCCTAATGCCGTGACCCCTAAATCCAGATCCTTGTGTTGTGGTGACCCCCAACCATATTTCCATCGCTACTTCATAACTGATACTATTATGAATCATAATGTAAATATCTGATATGCAGGATGTATTTTCATTACAAATTGGAACATAATTAACGCAAAATTAATTAATGTTTGGGGGAGTATGGACAATGGATGATGGGATCTGCAGTACCTTCAACTGACTCGGCTCTGACTTCCACAGACCACTGAGACCCCCACAAATAACATACATGGGCCAAACCCGACACACGGAACCCCCATTACCAAAAGAAAATACTGGAGGGGGTTGTGAGGAATTGACAGGGATTGATGAGAGATGTAGAACATGGCCAACATAAGATACTGGAAGGCTTTGGTGGCATTGATCTTGAGTTTGGGAGTTGTAGTTCACCTACATCTGGAGAGCACTATGAACCCAAACAACTATGGGTCTGGACCAAATTTGGCACAAATGCTCAATATTCCCAAATTTGAACACGGGTGGAATTTGGAGAAAATAGACCCTGGTATTTGGGAATTGCAGTTAGGTGGATTTATAGTTCCCCTTCGATCAAAGAGCCTTCTGAACTTCACCAGCACCCTGAGGATGACACATGGAGGTGGGGCCTCAGGAGGCAGGGCCGTGACCCCTCGAGAATTGCCAAATGACCCCTCTGGGGGTCGCGACCCTCAGGTTGAGAACCACTGCTCTAGAAGCATTCTCTCCAGATGTTTCACCTACATCTGTGGCAGGCATCGTCAGAGGTTGTGACAATACAGTCTAGGATTGTATTGGCATTTTTAGCTCCCGCATCAGGCTGTTGGCTTATGT